AATTTGGGTGTCCAAGACTTAGGCGCTAAACTTTTGACGAGATCAGCGGCACCTAATAACGGTGGCCAAGATTACGGCGCTCAACTTATGGCGATGTTAGCGCCAAATTTGGGTGTCCAAGACTTAGGCGCTCAAATTTTGGCGAGATCACAAGGACCTAATAACGGTGACCAATATAACGGCGCTCAACTTATACAGCGCTCTGTGCCCAACATGGGTCAGAGTCAAGTTTATCTGATACGTAAACAACGCCAGGCGCCAGCTCCAGATAAAAATGTAGGTGAAGTTGTAGCGGAAGGTGAAAATGTTGATAGTGTCATTGCATCTAATGCAGTCACGGATGTTCCCGCTGTTGGGGTCGTCACAAAACCTCCAATCGTAGATGCAGTCGTTGCTCCTATCGTATCTGCGGTACCTGTCACCAAGTCAAATTAAATAAACGTTTTTTATAGGCTGCGAAGACCCTGAGTAAGAATGCTTTATTACGCCAATAAAACGAAGAACTAAAACAAGAAAACTGTATTTAATTTTATATTTTAAAATGAGCAGCGAATATGGTATCCGATCTTATTACGGAATGAGACAAAATCTAAAGACGTTAGTGTATTAGATATTAATACGTGTCGCCGAAAAAGTGGCTACCGAAAGCCAAACCTAGTCAGTGTGGGACTTTAACCCAAACTAAACCACCTACTCTCCAATTACTAATCCGCCCGTTATTGCTGTCAGGTATTTTGTTGAGTGGTGGTTTGAAGGCGGAGCTCTACAGTTCTGATGCAGTCCGCTGAAAAGTTACATCAGTTTGGAACAGTTTTCTGTGTTGATAAGATATAAAAACCTTCCTTAGTCGGGTCCATTCCCAGGGTGCTTTGGCGTTTGCTGAGGTACGGGCTTGACGACCCCGGGCTACTCCAGTCAAAGGCTACCAGTCCTGAGTCGGTGGAGGCTCAACTGGTGGAAATGTCTACGGCTTTAGAAAGTCATGCCGAAAACTTTAAAAGGGCCCCCGGAGTGTGTTCGTCGGCGAGACGAGCAAAACTAGTGACACAAGCAAGGCTTGCAAGGCAGGCAAGACAATTACTAGCACGACAGACACGACTAGGAAAATGGTGAAAATGAAGTTGAATAAAAGTTGGAAAATGAGAAAAAATGCGGAAAAGTGGTGAAAAATTGGTGGAAATCGGAGAAAACTGGTGGAAAAGTTGGTGTTGAAGTTGAGCAACTCGAGCCGTTGCGAAAGTTTAGCGAGTGATGTCGCCGCTCCTGGTTAGAAGGGGGTGCTCACGAGCGAGACGAGTAAGACGTGTGAGAGGAGTAAGACGAAGCAAGATGGTATGAAGTGTGCATTTTGAAATGGAGATGAATGTGGAGTGAAGTAGTTGTATAAGTCGTCCTAGTGTAAGTTGAACCAGTTAAGTGGGTCAGGGTGAGTTGAGACGGTCGCGCGAATCTCTCCGGCGAGCATTACTCCGGTCTGTTCATGGGTATGGCCCCTCGGGCCGATGTTTCTAATTTCAACTCTGGGGAGAAGAAAGTGGAGTACTCCGATCTTCTCGTCGAGTTTGAAGCCACCTATCATGAAGCTAGTAGCATGTTTACAGCGTTGCGTATGTGGTGAAGCCTAGTGTCCCAGGCCGATTGAGTTAGTCGCTAAGATTTTTGAGAGGCCAGACGTGCGATGAATCCACGAGCCTGTATATTTGAAAATTGAGGCTGCAATGACGGCTATCACTTGAGTAATTACGCTTGCGTAGGTGAAGAGCATGTAGCGCCGCATATACATAACTCTGGGCCCCTTTGTACCCTTTGGAGTTGTTATAGCACTGCTAATTTATTAGTGTAGAATTCTAGTCGGCCCGACTTCAAGTTAAAGAAAATTAGGTACGATTGGCTAACCAATCTTTCATGTCCCATATATGGTGAAGTGGTGCTATATAAAACCATTCCGAGCTAGCCTGATATGTGGGTCCGGCGCCTATAGAGACATACCAGATTAATGAGAAAAAATCTGGCTATATCTAAAACAGTAGTACCAACGTTTTTAAATTTTTCCAAGGCCTTGAACTATCCTTTTATATATATATATATTTTCCGTCCAGGTTATCAGACCTGCACCCTTTTCCTGTAGATGGTTACGATAAGGTTTCACTTTTTCGAAAAGAGTTGCCACCTATTAAAAAATTAAGCACACAGTTATATCGATTTTCAAAAATGAGGTGCCAAAATAAATGGCTTGTGCTGTAGTTAGGCAGTAAGGCTTTACTTTTTCAAAAATAGTTGCCACCTTATAAGGATTTAAGTTCAAATTATTGAAAAAGTGAAATCAATTATTACAATATGGGTATGAACCGAAATAGTCTTGAAAAGGCTTTATTTCTAAACTATACGTAGGAGCGTTGCGACCGGTTTAAAAATATAATTCCATTTGAATTAAGAAAATCAGGTAATTGAAATATGTACCACCATATAGTTGCCCGAAGAAAGAGGTTGTTGGTTTTTGTTAATATTTCTATTATTAGAATGTTTAACTTTTAGGAGTAATAACAAAAACAAATAACTTAAGGACGAGCGCACCTAAAAGTTAAAGATTATTGAAATAATATAAAAATAATTGAAATATTAACAAAACCCAACAAAACCAACAACCACATGATCAAGTGAATTGCAGCGGAATAGCTGCGCTTGATTGTGATTGGCTTAGCAAAGTGAAATAGTGGAAATAAGCAACAAGAATTAACAAGGCAAACTTAGCACAGTGCGTAGGCAACTGGCTGAGTAAGTGGTGATCGTCGGTTCGAATCCTACTGAAAGAAGTCTGATGAGGAAATGTGGTGATTTCCGAAAAAGCTATCACTTCTACCATTTTTTCAAATTATTGTTGCTTTTCCACAATAAAGTTTTCACTAAAATCGGCCTCAAGCTCATAAAAATTGTTGAGTATTATTATTATTATAAGCGCATTTAAATACGTGTTACTTACTATATTTGCACTTTGCTTTTGTTACCCGAAATTGCTTTTTTCCACTACTATTTTTGTTCTTGCTGCCTTTTGTTGAATTCGTCACAACTGTCTGCTATCGAGTGTCTACCCTGACGGAAAAAGTGATTTTTTTTAAATCAACTAATTGAAAGACTACTTTAAAACAAATGCAATGAGTAAATGTTTCGAATTTTTATACTCTTTTTGCTCAAAAAACAATTTGTGTCTTGGAAGTATGAAAAGGCATATGTGATGTCCAGAACGTAAGCGTATTCAAAAGAAACATACTGACTTTGAAGTTGTGTAAACCAAATTCATTTTAAAGTGGTTGAAGTTAAATGCAGATTCGGTCAGTCGACTTGCTGCTTGCACACAATTCAAACTAAACATTTGAAAGCACATTTACATGTATGGCTGTGGCTGAGCGTGCAAAGATGTTTGCTACAATTGGTTGCGGCCATGAGAGTCCATGTTCAAATCTCAATAGGCGAAACATTAAATTTAAGATTTTTAATTTCGGGTTTTCTTAATTATGAGAAAGCATCTGTGAAGTGCAGAAGGAAAGCAAACGACTGACCTTAAAGTTGTTTAATCCAAATGAATTTTAAATTAGTTGCAAATACATGCAGGAAAAGGTAATTGACTGCTTCCTAGAACATCGCCATGTTAAATAAATGGGTAAAATAGTGAGAATTTCAATTAGTTATCATTGAAGATAAAGTAGTTTATAAATTACTTTAAAACCAATTCAATTTCCTGCTGGGTAGCGCGATAGTACGTGTGCAAAAACACACACCGACAAATTGTGACGCATAGCTTTGTACAAGTATAGATACTCCAGTGGCATGTAGCTTATACGCCACGTAGCACCGCATTGGTTGGCGTACGTAGCAAATTTTCCTATCACGTGCTAAGCAATAATATTCGTGTGAAAAAAATCTATCGTATACCAGCTCGAAATCCGCTTGGTGAATTTTATTTTATCTTGCAGTTTAATTTGTCTATAAAAAAATATTCATAGTCATATGTAGCATTAACTTCGGGGTTTTATATTTTGCGTGGCATGCTCAGTGGTTAAATTGGTTGGTTAATAAGCCAAATGCATTTTTTCTGCTAAAATTAAATCAGCAACTTTTTTACAATTTTCTAAAAAAGCATTCATAATAAAATAGCAGGAAAATTAACGCCCAAATCATGGATCTCTCTCGCGGTTACCTCATTATCGATACTTCCGATTAAACCTGATAAGATCTAATTGGAATGCACCAGAGGAAATTTCATGAAAGAGAGTACTTTTCTAAAATTCCGCTGCTTAAGTGCTTATTCGATCAAGAAGAGGCTAGATTATAACACCAAGAACCCGGGACCGAAAATAACCATTAAATACCAAGATTTTCATTTTTAGATCATTGGAAAATAGTTATTTGTTATTATTATTTTTTCGATAAAAAATATTTGTTACATTTGATTTTTATTTTTTCAGACAAATTATGTCTTAATATTTTTATTTTGAACTAGCAAATACCCGGCTTGCTTCACCGCGCCTTAAGTGTATTTTTGTGATGTTTGATACCCGTATTGTAATACATATATCATTTTTTATATCAATTTAATTTAATAAATTTTTTAAACAGCTGGCAACCCTCCTCAAAAATATTATTGACAGTAAAATTTCCTAAACCTCTTCAGTTTGACACCCATATTTGCTGATATTCAATTTATCTTATCAGTTAAATTAAATTAAAATTTTCAAGCAGGTGGCAACCTTCTACAAAAATATTTTCCGCTTTAAGCCTTCTTAAACCTCGAAACGGAGATTTCGGAAATATCTAATCAGAATGTGTGTCTATTCATTAGTAGATCTGATCTTAATTGGGGAAAAATGCCTGTTTTATAAAAGTATATGCCAGGATCTTGTTGTGCCATTGCCTTGAAATCCACCACATCCAAACATCCCCAAACCCCCCCAGACGTAAGAAAGGACTTACACACCATTGTGTAACTTGAAAAGATAAGTTGGGCGTTTATATATGTAAGGGCACTAAAGAGCAAGGAAATGATTACTGCAGCAGAATATTCCACTTGATATCTCAATATTTACCTGTTTGTATCGCACGTTTAGTGGCATGTAAGTGAACGCAACGATGCGAAAAATATATTTATTTTATCTTGACAAGGACTTTTATTGTTTTTGGATTGATTGCGGTGCGGTGACTTTCTGGCTGCTTACAGCTACATACATACGTATGTATATTACTCGTAGACTGTTTAGTTTCTTATTTTGCGCTTTGGTTGTTATGCCTCAATAAAAAGCGCTCGAACACATTGACTCAGTCACCTGAATTCGGAATCGCTTTTAGTAAGTGTTCCATACCATTTCATGTGGCAAAATTGTCAATAGACAAAACAAGTAAGCCAAATCGATTCAATTGGGTATTTTTGCGGCACGTACATATGTATGAAGAATGCAGTAATATTTATTTATGCTTTTCCTTAGCGATGACTAAAGCTACTTCTCAATCTACTATAAA